AGAAAGGAGGAGAAGAAAAAGAGAAAGAGAAGAAGAGGGAAAGGAAAGAGAAGAGGAGAAAGGAGAGAGAAAGAGAAGAAGAGAGAGGGAAAGGAAAGGAAGAGGGGGAGGAGAGAGGGAGAGAGAGAAGGAAAAAAGGAAAGGGACAAGGAAAGAAGGGAAGAGAGAGGTAAAAGGACAGGGGAAGAAAGGAAAGCAGAAAGGGAAAAGGAAGGCAGAAAGGGAGGGGATCAGAGAGAAAGGGAAAAGGAAGGAGAGAAGAAAAGGGATCGAGAGAGAAAAGGCGAGAGGGAATGAAAGAGCGAGAAAGTGAAATAGCGAAGAGAGAAAGAGAAGAGAGAGAAAGAGAAGAGAAAGAGAAAGAAGAAAAGAGAAAGAGAAGAGAAGAGAGAGAGAGAGAGAGAAGAGAGAGAGAGAGAGAAGAAAGAGAAAGAGAAAGAGAAAGAGAAAAAAAAGAGAAAGAGAAAGAGAAAGAGAAGAGAGAGAGAGAGAGAGAGAGAGAGAGAGAGAGAGACAGATAGAATAAATAGAAAAACAGACATATAATCAGACACTCATCAGGCAGATGGACAGACAAATAGACACTCAGCGGACAGATAGACAGACAGACAGACAGACAGAGACAGACAGATAGACAGACAGAGACAGACTGATAGATAGACACAGACAGACAGAGAGATAGAGACAGACAGATAGACAGACAGAGACAGACTGATAGAAACACAGGACAGACAGATAGACAGACAGACAGATAGACATATACACAGACAGACAGACAGACATACAGAGACAGAGACAGACAGATGGTCCAACCGCTGTCCTGGCCCGCACTCTGGCCGTCACGTCGGGCCATAAATACTCGTGTTTATCGTCTGATCTCTATCGGTTTTCATTCCAGTCCGGTTGAGAATTTTCCCGAAGCGTTTGCGGCAAAAAGAAAGACAAAAAATAGAAAAAAAAATCACACCCTCTAAATCACGCGGGACGTTGGACCAAAATGCTTTGGGTTGTAGTGGGGTGATCGACCATCTCGACGTCAAGGGTGGCCGTGTGGGAGGGAGGGGGTCGTCATGATGGCTTTTCGTACCTTGATGAGTATATCCATGCGAATGCACGTACACGCACGACATACATCACACACACAGACACACACACAGATAATACACACACACACACACACACAGATATATACACACACCACACACACACACACACACACACACACACACACATATATATATAATATATATATATATATATATATATATATATACATATACATATATACATATATACATATATATATATATATATATATAATATATATATATATATATATATATATATATATATATATATATATATATATATACTTGTGTGTGCGTGCGTAATATGCATGTATATTTCCGTTTGCTCCCAGTGCTAGACAGCTTTGATTGGACTACTTTAAGCACCATATTGTGGATAAAAACAGTTAACAGTTAGCCAACAACAATCCTAAATACCAATAATCCATCGCTTTATTCAATCTAGTCTTTTATATACATTTTCCCTTAAATTTCATGGATTGTTACATGGTCGTTTCACTGTTGACGAAATCGCTGGTCTCACTGCCTACCTGCTTAGTAGTTCCATTAGGGATTTCCTCTACAATCCATATGTGACAATCGCTTTGGTTTCCTTTCCATTGGTGTAGGTTTATCTTGATTAAATATCCAATTGCGTATATTACTCAGTCTATCATTAGTTTATTTTCTGGAGGTCATTTACATTTGTCTTGCCATAGGCCTATTTTCTGTCAAATTTCCGTTTTTTTCTGGTTCGTTGTCTGGGAAGTGAATCTTTTAACATTTGTCAAATGTTCTTTTTCTATTTTTTATTTTTCTCTCTTCCCATAGGTCCTATTCCCGTTTTCCTTCACGAACATTAGGAAAACATTTAGGAAAACCATAACAATACTATCCATTTTTTTCCTCTTTCTCTCAGACCTCAGCATTCCATTCATCAAAACATCAATTTCTAGCAAAAAACATCAATTTCTAGCAAAAAAAAAAAAAAAAAAAAAAATCAATTCTTTCCTTAAGAGGAGAATAAAACAAAAACACAAGACAATAACGGTCCTTGTTAGACAGTGGATTATAGCATTACATTAATATCACAAAATATATAGATATATGTGAATATGTCTGCCAGTGCCTGCGTCTCCCTCTGAGATACGGGACTGTCAACGGAAGCTTGAACTGTACCCTGCCCTAAGAATTCATAAAAAAAGGATAAATACTTTGAAAATAGAAAATAAAAATGCATAAAATATAATAACTATTATTATGCCACACTCTAATTCACATTCGAAGTTTTGTTTTACGTTCACAATGTTTGTTTGTGTGTGTGTGTGTGTGTGTGTGTGTGTGTGTGTGTGTGTGTGTGTGTGTGTGTGTGTGTGTGTGTGTGTGTGTGTGTGTGTGTGGTCTAAAAAAAAAAAGGTAAAATGTGACGTAAAACAACTCTACATTTCGTTTTCTTTTTTTCTAAAATTTCTCAAGCGGCCAATACATCTTCTCTTCGCGCTGTTCCTTCTTCTTCCTTCACATGAAAAGACAAGTTATGGAAATACACCGAAAAACAAATCCTTAAATTACTAATAAAAAACAAAACAAAAAAACAAATGACAGCGATAAAAAATTGTAACAAATATTCACAGTTAATTTACACATTAGCATTACCACACACACGAAAAAAAAGAATGTTATTTCAAAAGTACACATTCAGGGAAAATGATGCTAACATACATGCCCATCTCATGACAGCATCAATAAGTAAAAAAAAAGTTACATTGGAATTCACTCCAAACTTGTCAGTTTTGTGCTAGTATAAAAAACGGCCTTTACAAAGGTTTACACAGTTAACAAAAGAGTAAAATAAAATGTCTGGAACACAAAAAGGAAGATTAACATGAAAATAGTGATTATATATACATATACTTTATATATATATATATTGTAATGTTCTCTCGTCTTGTTAAACATACCAAGGCTTCAACACAGGATTTCACGCACGCAAGTATTACCATCTGAAAGGCAGGGCACCGTTTCCTTTTTTGGTAATATTTCATCTTCAACTTTCCCTCCATATAACCTTAGCCGAGGAAGGCCCTTGCTGCATTTAGTGTACGTGTTCGCATGCTTGCAAATTTTCCTTTCTGCTTGCGTGCGAAAATTCTCATGCCTTGGGTGTACTATGCGATTTTTCTCCTTTTACGCGGAAAAATTTCACTGTGATTTCATGTAAGCAAATTTTCTAAGCAAGGGCACTGGTTGCATAAAA